AGTAACGTGTACAAGTCTGGTCCACGCCATGCGAAGCGACCTGCCGGCGTCGCCTGTCCTGTCCCTCGCTCCCTCCCGAACGTCACAAGACCACGTGGTTCGACGTGACGTGGCCATGACTCTGACGACCCGAGACCAATGTTGCCTGACGCAACCGAAGTTTCGGTTTCGGTATCAGTCGATGTTTAAATTAGGATTACACAAATAATATTCCACATTTCGCGAATCCGAAGATGTAGAGTTGTTTAGTAGTGCTTTGTGAATTTTAATCACATGTAAGCCTAAGTTTTTTCGGAATTGAGCGGAGTTGCCCTTTAAAGAGCCTGGCCGTTATTTGGAACACCCGGTATACGTCTATAACCTCAGCCGATTCGCAACGAGCCTCCTTGAAATCACACGTAGCCGGGAACCGCTTAGAAACTTTGCAACGGTGCTCTCAGCGCAGAGCCTGGCTGAGAAGTAGACAAACTCCGGACAAAAGAGACTCAGTTTCGCGAAAAGATCCCCGCGTGCACACTTTGATCAATCTTGGAACACCGATATCCACCACTCGCTCAAAAGCGACAACACGGCGCCAAAACGGGAATCCAGACGTAACGTTCGTCCGAGATCTAAGTCCTCCAGCAAAACGCACAGGCAAAACTTATAAACGCTCCCCCCCCCCCCAACCCCCCCTCACTTCCCCCTCCCCCCCCCCCCCCCCCACTCCCCAAGAAAAAAAAAAGGATTGCGGGGTGGGTTTGCAGAAACTGGAGGAAGCGTCTAGCGTATGCCGAACGAGACAAACGAATTGGACTCGTTCCAAACAGACGGGCCAGCTCGGCAGGCGGCCCGAAGGCACGCCTTTTAGACTACGATACCCGTGGCAGCCTCGCGAACGCGGGCCCGAGGACGACCGCCGGGGGAAGCAGAAGCGACAGGGTGCGGGGACAAATGATGCCGGCGGCGCCGACGCGCCGAGATCCCCGCCGAGAGATGCGCATTCGGGAGTGCATCCGGACGGCACCAACGGGTGAAAGACGAATCCGTCGCCGGCGGGGGCTGCTCTCAAACGTCGGCCGAATCAGAGATCGGGTTCCGCTGCATACTTACCCGCGCGGCTTAGCCTGCACAAAGAACGTTAGGGCACAGGCGTATAGGCAGGAGCCGTGACTGGAGGCTTTACCCAACACCGCCTAAAGAAGCACGCGTGGCGTGCAATAGCATTTTGACGTCACCACAGCGAGATCGAGCGCAGCTGATACGAGAACAGCGTCAGCTTTTGACATCGTGTCAAGTCAATGAGACGAAGGAGGCGTCGGGATCCGGAGCAGTTCTTGGGGCCACACGAGAGCGATGACGTCACGGGGAGGTTCGCAGGCTTTGATTATTCTAAGTGGCGTTTACCCCGGCTGCCATCGAACGGATATCGTCTCGAGCCGGTTACGGCACGGCCGTTGAGGCTACACGAGAGAAATTTTGCTTTCGAGAAACGATGAAATCTGGAGTCGAAAAAATCGCCACCGAAGTAGAGACGCGTCGAAGCACCGATCTCCGTTTTGTGGGAAAGCTTGGCGGCTTCCTTTACGGGCTGAAGTCGCAAATTAATCGTAAGATTCTTCTCCCTGTTCTAGAAACGTCCAGTTCTGTGGATGGAAGGCCGCCACCATGATGAAAGGGGGACACAGTCCCGCCAGTCGGCGCTCGGTAGTCACCTGAGCCAGGCTGAGAGGGATCATGTGATGCACAATGTTCGCAAGAACCCTTTCTTAGACGCAACATAAAATCATCTCGTGCGTATTCAGAAAACCAATGCCCCAATATGAACTGTCGGGCTTGTACGGCAAACAAATTATACGGAATCAATGCCATAGTTGCCCTTGCCACAGGAAAGGTCATTCCAGACTAAAGATAGTCCGGTTCTCGCGAGAAACGTGTTGACAGTTTTCATACCGGTTTCCCGGAAACTTTCTTCTCTAAAAAAAAATAAATAATAATAAATAAATAAAGATTACGCGAGTTAGCCTCCTAAAAAGTGAAGCATCAGTGTAACTGACGTAAAACTTTCATATCTTGGATCTATCATAATTTCTGATTTATTGTTGTAAATAACAACAGGGTGCTGGATGTCCCAGAAAACAAATATTTCGGAGTATTTCTATTAAGGCATGTTGAAAACATATGAACCCTGGAACGCCTCCTGCGGTATAGCTACTGCGAAAAACCCTTTTCAAAAGTCAGTCACCTTGCGACAGTCCCAAAAACTCCAAAGTATTAGCACAAGTAGCAAGTTCTGCATATCTCGGCGCATGCAGAAAACGACTTTCAAAACAAGCGTGTATCCCATAGAAAAGCGTGGGGAACCGGGCTCACGACAGGCTGTCATTAGCCGCCTATCGAGGAGCCATCTGGTGGCACCGGTTGCAACCAAGGCGAAGAGAGGGCTTTAGCTAACAGCTGCGATGCGCGCGGTGTCCACACCTATGTACGTGAATAACAACGTGCGCTCGACCATCACGCGGACCACTTGAAACTGTGACGTTATGTGACATTTTGAAGTCACGGGATTAATCTCTAGTTCACGTGTCATGTAATGTCAAGGCGGCACGTAACACCGTGATGTCACATGAGGTCACCCGACGTCACACGACATGCACATAGCATGTGCCCAGTTACTTCGCATCAAGCTATGAACGTTTCTAAGCTTAGAATATATATATTCGAGACATCTTATTATTGTTTTTACTACATCGATACTGTCATCTACGATCCATATTCATTAGCGCGCCGAAGACATCCAATAACAATAAAACAACGAATAAAAAAAAGAGACAGATATCACTGTTTGTAACGAGCCAGCAAAAAGGGGAGCCCATGCCTGGATTAAAAATGCAAAGGTGATCATCTTCGCTGACGACTTAAACTGTACCGCAAGGTTGCAAATATTTGTGATTGCATACGCGTATATATCTCCAATATGATATCCGCTCTCTTGAACAATGGTGCTTGACAAATAGACTTCTAGTGAACCCCAAAAAGTCACTAGGTATGTCCCTTACTAGCAAGAGAGAGAGAGCTTAATGCATGACTACACCCTTTTTGAAGCACAGGAGCAGCGGGTGTTGCACGCACGTGACCTTGGTGTGATTGAAAACTGGAGATTAGATTTTCGTTCTTACGTTTCTCGTATTGTTAGTCACGGTCCCCGCTACCTTGGCGTCACTGCGCGGTTAATAAAAAAGTTTCGTTTTCTTCTGTGTCTGTTAACCTTGTACTGTGCACTTGTTAGATCGCGTCTTGAGTTCGCGTCCGTAATATGGAACTCTACTGCGATGTCACACAGCAATTTAATTGAAAATGTTCAGCGTATATTTATACGAATTTTATATAATAAACACATTGACCGGCGCCGCTCTTACGGTTACAACTATCTTTTGGTGGACCTTAATCTTTTAACTTTGCACGATAAAAGAATTGCCAAAGGTATGAACTTTTTACATCAAGGTGTGCATGGTCCCATCGACTGTTCAGACTTGTTGATGGCCTTGAGATTCCGTGTGCCCTCATCTGTGCAGTCATCCAGCTGCCAATCCTTTTATCCTAAGGTGCGGTCAATCTGTCCGATGACGCGACTGCGACAAACCTATAATGCCTTGTTTTTAGACGATGACATTTTTGTTTGATTTTATTACTTGAAAAACATGCATTTATCTTATGCATTCACTCATTGGACAGTGCACTGCCACCCAGGCCACTTGGCTGTTGGCGGGCACTTAATAAAACTATCTATCTATCTAGGGCCACATCAGTCATATGTATGGCCGGCAGAAGACTGCCGCAGAGAATGCGTGGGCATTCCGAAGGCACGAGGCTCGGGAACGGCTGCAGGCTGCCGACTTCCCCCGTGCCACAAAGGCGACAGACCATTTCGTTCCCGCTGTGTTTACGTGACTGCATCGCTCGTTTGTGCTTACACTTTAAGTGCCCAGTGAACAACGGGCATCAGAGAGCACGTGGCCGTATATAAAGCCTTTCACGCGGCCGCTGCTCCGACTGCGATATCAGCGGCTGAACGTGATCGCATATAAAAACACCCGCGTTCCGTATATTATAATTTATAAGAGGGATTCTGTCTGGACACGGTTAGTGGATGTGAGAACATTGCCGCACAGGCCCCTTAAAAGCACTTCCGGGCAGCAAGAAGCCGCCCATGGATATTATCGTGGCATAGGCTGCAATTCGGCTAGGCATTTTTAAGAATGTTAAGCAAAAATGGCGGTACGCCGTCATTGGCGCACGCAAACGATACTGTCTGCTCCTCATGAACACACGCTTTGCCAGCCACTCCCAACGCGTGCGAAGATCCACCGGCAGACGGCACGAAGAGCCTGCGCCTGTCTCATATCGAAAGGAAATTGTGCTGCTGATGCGACAACAAGCTTTCACCCGTCGCTTTCGCAGGTCAAAACGAAAGTCAAGTAAACATCCTGGCTACGAGAACAAAGTTAGATAAAAAAAAAAGTATGTATTTTACACGCCGAGAGGTTTTCAGAATAAAACCAGACGAGGAGACAGCGAAAAGGTAACATTTCTGGCTAACCTCGTATAGAGATGATTAATCACTAAACAACGTAATAATGTCATTACCGAATTGTGACTAGTTATCATGACAGATGTAGAACATGAGCTAGTAATGCCCTGTTCCAGTATGCGCACTCAGAACAAGTTCTATCTCTCGACACTCCCCACAGCGACAAATAGAATCAAGTCAAACAGCGTCACGCGATCGTGAACGCCTGACGTCACGGCATTCGGTCGATGACGAAACGAGAATGATATCAGCGAACTTCTGAGCTGGGCTGTGAGATGTGACTTTGCCCCTTCTCAATCAACTTTTCCCGAGATGACCCAAGTTTTGCGCGCGTGATCCCTGCGTACGCAACGTGACACGCGTCTCATTTGAATATCGGGTGCCTCGTTATCCCGATGTAACTTGGAAAGAAACGGCCGGCAGTTCTTACCGGGTGTGACTTCGTCCTTGTAGCGGTCGTAGAGAGCCTTGAGCTCGTATTCCTGTTCCTCTGTCCACGTCACTTTGCCCGAGTGCGCCGATTTTCTGAAACGAAAGACAAAAGGCCATTCACTCAACTTACCCAGCACAGAAAATCAACGCAAAACATTCGAAACACAAGTTGGACAATATTCATTAACAACGCAAGTCTAGCGTTATAATAGAAAGCACCATAGCGTCCTCTATACTCCCAAATCCTGGCAGTTCGACGACGGAGCCCTATAGAGTGACCGGTCGTAGGTTTGGACCGCGAGCATCTGGTAGCAAAGAGCATTTCTCGGGGAACCCGGTATTCAGCGCACAGCTTTTGCAGTGGCAAGGACCCGAAACACGGTTTTCAAACCCGGCGAGAAAAGAAGCGGTAGCGGGAGGAACGCGAGGAGCACGAGCGGACATTCCATCGCCCGGGCGAAGTGTGTTTCGGCGTTTCGCTGCAGCGAGGCACCCGTTACATACCTCTCCTCTCACCCGTTGTCTACTTCTCTACTTCTTAACTTTCGGCGGCAGCGTCTTGTGGCAATGTGCCAGGCTTTGTCAGTATAAAGGAGGCTATGAAAGCAGACAACACGCGGCAGGAAAGCGCAAGATGAAGTACTGTCACAATAATGTGAACGCAGAACTCTCCGCCAACTCGCCGAATACACTGGCTAATTTAAAATCGAAAAAATGATCCGAATTGAGAGTAAGATTTCCCATTCTTTAACACTGTTATAACCGCGCAGCTTTTTTTTTTTTTTTTTGTGCAAGATTGCATTCACATGTTTTCCAAAGTTTTTAGACAAAATCTACATTCAACGTTTAAAAATATTAGGATTTCGATATTCGTTCGGCTTTTCACGCAAGACCCAAAAGAATGTCGTTGCAACAGCCAAACGGGAATTGTGAAGAGTAGGAGCAACGAGCTAAAAGCAACCGGTGCCTTTAGCCCGAACCCCAGGTGGGAACTGAAAAGAGCGTCTCAACGCAATAAGCTTAAGACTTGCAGCGCGTGTGCGTTCGTCAAAGTTACGAACGACGATTATTTGCTTTAATTATTCCTAAAAAGTGGACAACAAAATCCCGAACTGGAGGGAAAAAAATTTTCTATACATTATAGTCACCGAAAAGTTACTATAATTTATAGCCCCTTTCGAACGCCCGGCCCGGCACGGGCTCGTTGCTTTCGGCCGTGCTTCGGCTGCGCGACATGCATGCTCGAAGGTGACTAGACGCTGAAGCGTCATCAAAGTTAGCGAGCGCGCGCTGGAGGAGGCACAACTCACACCATAGCCTCCTATATACTGAGAAAGCCTGGCAGATCGCCGAAATGGAACAGGTGGAGCGGCGGACAACGGATGACAGGAGAACCACGTCACTGGCGCCCCGCTGCGGCGAGACGCCGAAACACACTTCTCCCGAGCGAACAACTGTGTTTCGGGTCCTCGCCGCTTGCAAAAAGCTGTGCGCTGACAGGTTCCCCGAGAAATGGCTCTTTGATGCTCTCTGCTACCAGATCCTCGCGCTTCAAATCTGCACTTTATGGCTCCGTCGTCGAACTGCCAGGCTTTGTGAGTATAAAAGAGGCTATGCTCACACTCGTCCCTGCCGTTCTCAACTTGTCCGTGACTTATGCGCCAAGACACTGTGGGAGAGGAGGAGACGAGAGGGGACGTCAGATTGTTTGTGGGTAGACGGAAAGCCAACTGCCTTTGTCTCTGTTCATAATTGGAACGCGTTAGATTGCCAAACGCCGGCGTCAAGCGTTCAGGGGTGGAACTCATGAAATGTACTTGGGAGCAGCCACGGGAGCAGCTGAAACAGCTGTTTTGGAGCAGGTTGGGAGCAGCTAAAACTACATTCTGGAGCAGGCTAGGAACAGCTCAGATCAGTTTGCATTGCACTTCAGCTTGTGTCTTAGACAAGCACGGGAGCAATTTCAATTGTGCTTAGGAGCAGAGATGAACATCAGTGGTTAGGGACCCAGGTAGATGGGATAACAGTGTAATAGATGCGAAAACTTGAAACTTTGCGAGCCTTAATGAGAATCAAAAAGCTAGTACCTGATGTTTCTGAAGATAGCGTCCTTAATATTTTCTTATTGGCTTTCGGCTGCTCAAAATGCAAACCAGCACTACTTATCGCACAACCCGCACGTGATTGACATAGTAATTATATGTGCGAACCACGTGACGAGCGTAAACAACGGACGTGTAGTTGCACGGAGGAGCAGGGCAACAAATTTCGAGTTTATCCTATTGTGCAACTCGATATCGAAGCAGCAGGCTACGATTAACGAAGTTATCGTATTTGAAGCGAGAAGCAGGAGCAAGGTTAAAGTACGCCGAGCAGATAAGTAGAGCTGCTGGCCGGCAAGGTTTCGGATCGGACCGCGTTTCAGTTCTATCGAATCACGATTTATCTTGCGAGAATGTGGTTCCAACTCCTAAGGATGAAGTACTAAAAGGAATCTTTTGCTCATTTGCTTTCGACTGGATGACGTCCGGATTCCGGGCCGCAGAGCCTCATGCAATCTGATGCTTAACGACTCGACCTTACCTCGGCCGACTTGCCCTACCGCTTATGGTTGAAGAATAACAATCCAGTCGCAGGTGGTGTAGCGCTTAGAATCCGAGTTTTTTTCGCGCGCTTCCGACTGGGGATAGACAGGGAGAATAAACAAAACAAAGGATTACAAGGCCGACCAGGCTAAACGCCCTCATTGTTGCCAATCGAGTCGATAGAAACCAAAACTAAGATCAAATAAAAAGTTTTTTGGCGCACGTTTTGCGATTTGGCGCATAATGGCGCGAGGTATTGGCTGTGGCGCAGTTTCTGCAACATGGCGCAGGACGGCGCAGATACATGCGTCTGGCGCAAAATGGCGCAAATGGCGCAGCCGTTCCACCCCTGAGCGTTCCGCGTTCGCGTTCAAAGGCATTCGAAGAGTACAGACAAACGCAGCTAGCGTTGCACCTACCCACTAATCCTTCCAACCAGAGCTCGGCGTCCTGACGTCCCCTCCTCCTCTCTCTCTCTTCTTTCCTTCCTCCTGCTCTCTCTTCCTTCCTCCTCCTCCTCTCTCTCCCTTCCTTCTCCTTCTCTCTCTTCCTCCACTCTCTCTCTTCCTCCCTCCTCCTCTCTTCCTTCCTTTTCCTCTCTCCCTTCCTCCCTTCCTTTCTTCCCTCCCTCCCTCCCTTTCTTCCCTCCCTCCTTCCCCCTCCCTCCCTTCCTTCCTCCATCCCTTCCTTCCTCCCTCCTCCCTCCCTCTCTTTCTTCCTCCCTTCCTTCCTCCCTCCTTCCTTCCTTCCTTCCTCCTTCCTTCCTTCTCCTCCCTCCTTCCTCTCTCTTCCTTTCTTTCTCTCTCTCTTTCTCTCTCTCCTTCATTCTCTCTCTTCCTCTCTCTCTTTCTTTCTGTCTGTCTTTCTTTCTGTCTGTCTGTCTTTCTCTCTTTCTGTCTTTCCTTTTCTTCCTTTCTGTATTTCTTTCTTTCTTTCTGTCTTTTTTTTCCTTCTGTCTTTCTTTCTTTCTCTCTTTCTTTCTCTCTCTCTCTTTCTCTCTGTCTGTCTCTCTTTCTCTCTCTCTCTTTCTTTCTCTCTGTCTCTCTTTCTCTGTCCCGCTCTCTCTTTCTCTATCTCTCTTTCTTTCTCTCTCTCTCCGTCTTTCCTTCTCTCTCTGTCTTTCTTTCTCTCTCTTTCTTTCTTTTTCTCTCTCTCTTTCTTTCTCTTTCTGTCTCTCTCTCTTTCTTTCTCTCTGTCTTTCTCTCTCTGTCTTTCTTTCTCTCTCTGTCTTTCTCTGTTTCCTTCTTTCTTTCTCTCTCTTTCTCCTTCTTTCTCTCTCTCTCTCCTTCTTTTTCTCTCTGTCTCTCTTTCTCTCTCGCTTTCTCCCTGTCTCTCTCTCTCTCTCTCTTATTTTCTCTCTCTCTTCCTGTCTTTCTTTCTTTCTCTCTTGTTCTCTCTCCTGCTTTCTCTTTCTCTCTCCTTTCTCTCTCTCTGTCTTCCTCTCTCTTTTTCTTTCTTTCTCTCTCTTTTTCTTTCTTTCTTTCTCTCTCTTTTTCTTCCTCTCTCTTTTGCTTTCTTTCTCTCTCTTTTGGTTTCTCTCTTTCTTTCTCTCTCTCTCTGTCTTTCTCTCTCTCATTCTGTCTTTCTCTCTTTCTTTCTTTTTCTCTCTCTCTCTCTTTCTCTCTGTCTCTCTCTTTCTCTCTCTCTTTTTCTCTCTCTCTCTTTCTCTCTCTCTGCCTTTCTTCCTCTCTCTGTACCTCTTTTTCTTTCTCCCTGTTTCTTTCTTTCTCTCTCTTTTTTCTCTTTCTCTTTCTTTCTCTCTTTCTACCTGTCTCTCTTTCTCTCTATCTTTCTTTCTCTCTTGTTCTCTCTCCTTCTTTCTCTTTCTCTCTCCTTCTTTCTCTTTCTCCTTTCTCTCTCTCTCTGTCTTTCTCACTCTCTTTCTTTCTCGCTCTCTCTCTTTTTCTTTCTTTCTCTCTCTTTTTCTTTCTTTCTCTCTCTTTTTCTTTCTTTCTCTCTTTTGCTTTCTCTCTCTCTGTCTTTCTCTCTTTCTTTCTCTCTCTTTGTCTTTCTCTCTTTCTTTTTCTCTCTCTCTCTGTCTTTCTCTCTTTTTCTCTCTCTCTTTCTTTCTCTCTCTCTTTCTCTCTGTCTCTCTCTCTTTCTTTCTCTCTCTCTCTTTTTCTCTCTCTTTCTTTCTTTCTCTCTGTCTTTCTCTCTCTCTGTCTTTCTTCCTCTCTCTGTCTCTTTCTTTCTCACTGTTTCTTTCTCTCTCTCTTTTTTCTCTCTCTCTTTTTTCTCTCTCTCTTTCTTTCTCTCTGTCTTTCTTCCTCTCTCTGTCTCTCTCTTTCTTTCTCCCTGTTTCTTTCTTTCTCTCTCTCTCTTTCTCCCTGTCTCTCTTTCTTTCTCTCTTGTTCTCTCTCCTTTCTCTCTCTCTCCTTCTTTCTCTTTCTCTCTCCTTTCTCTCTCTCTCTCTCTCTCTTTCTTTCTCGCTCTCTCTCTCTCTGTCTTCCTCCCTCTTTTTCTTTCTTTCTCTCTCTTTTTCTTTCTTTCTTTCTCTCTCTTTTTTTT